TTGCTACATGTGTTTAAACGGTTGCAGAAAAACCGACTCGGGAAATACGTTTGATGTTGCTCGAAACCCTACTCAATCGCTCTAAAGTGACCCGAAATGCTCTGCGCCCGAATAATCTGGAGCCTTAAAGCCCAAGACCTGAATTACAAGAAAAAGAAGGCAAACTGTGCACAGTTTGCCTACCGAACCCACAGTTGACCTCCCGAGCCAGGCTGGTTACCAGAAAGGATCGCATACAAAAAACACTGAGTCGTTCAGCAGAGCAGGGTTGGTTGGCAAGAGTCCCAACAACACACTCCACGAGGAACAACCGCTCAAAGTGTGCACAGTTTGCGTACATGGTAATTCAGGTCGTGCTTGTACTCATAGTACTCTTAGATTGTTCCAAGAGACATAATAAAACGCCAACATAGCATAGCTCCCCGCAGCGCAACACCCGCCTTTCCGTGGCTGCGGTGTTCCGCCTTTCCCTCCCCAAGCCTCGAGTCTGTCTCTCTCCGCATCTCGCTGCATCTCCCTTCTCCCCCCACAGCAGCACATTTGCCAACACCAGCCATAAGTCTGCCTACAAATCCGCCATGGCAGTTTTATCTCACTCATCACAAGCTTCTACCCTGCTCGTCGTCCAAGTTCTGTTTGCTTACTCGTTCATTCACTTCGAGGGTCCCCTAGTGTCCTCTCTTTTGACGCTGAGGGTCGGGCCATTGACTTTGACGTCTGGATAGATGACCTGCAGCTTTTCTTATAGTGCGATAGGGCAGACGGCCTCTCCCTCTTTGACCTCACTTCTGGTGCCTCTCCTGCCCCCGCTGCTGATGCTGACGCCACTGTTCGCTCACAGTGGGCCACGCGCGATGCTGCTGCACGTCTTGCTGTGCGTCGCCACCTGCCTACCTCTGAGCGTGCGCACTTTAGCCAGTACAAGAGTGCTCACACCTTGTACGACGCTGTAGTTGCGCGCTACTCCTCCCCTGCCACTGCTGCACTGAGCCGCCTCATGCTACCGTACCTCTTCCCTGACCTTGCTGCCTTTCCCACAGTCGCTGACCTCATTACGCACCTCCGCACTAGTGACACTCGCTACCGCGCTGCGCTTCCTGCTGAGTTCTGCGCCAAGAACCCCCCCCCCATGTACATCACCCTCTACTACATAGTCACCCGTCTCCCTGACTCCCTTCGCGTAGTCAGGGACCACTTCCTCTCAGTTTGCCCCACTACTCTCACCGTTGACCTCCTCGAGAAGGCCCTCCTAGCAGCAGAAAAGAGCATAGTAGTTGTAGGAGCCTCTCGTGGTGACCCTCGCACCCCCATCTTTGAGGGGTGTTCCCCCTCCCCTCTTTTGCCCTCTGTTGCCTCTGCTGCTGCGGCCGACCTCGTTGGTCTCGAGTCGGTCGGCGCTGCGTCTGCCCCGAGCGGGAGACGCCGCACCGGCAAGGGCAAGGGGGGCAAGGGTGCTGGAGGGGCTGGCGGGGGTGGCGGAGGTAGCGGTGGCGGCAGTGGAGGGGGTGGGGGTGGTGGTGGGAGTGGTGGCGGGGGTGGAGGTGTCGGTGGCGGCAGTGGAGGCGGAGGTGGCGGCGGCGGTGGCGGTGGGAGCGGAGGTGGCGGAGGTGGCGGCGGTGGAGGAGGAGGCGGCGGAGGAGGTGGAGCTGGTCGGGGTGGCGCTGGGCAGAGGGTCGGCTCCGGTGGTGGTCAGCGCCAGCAGCAGCAGCAACAGCGGCAGCAGCGCACTCGTGACATCCCCCCCCCTCAGCAGCTCCGTGAGTGGTACGCTGCACGCCAGCGGGGTGGGGGTACTGGTCCGTGCACCTACGTCCTACGCACCGGCGACCGCGCGGGTGAGCAGTGCGGGGGTGCGCACTCCACCCAGCACTGCTTTGGCCGCCTGACGGACGCTTGGCGTCACCAGTTCCCTGAGGCCACTGAGATCCCCCGCTGGGGCGAGCTGTCTAGGGCGGGTGTAGCTGTCTTTGACCTTGACTTTGATGCTATTCTTGCTGCCATGTATGCTGTGACTATTAGTGATGAGGGTGACTGCTACCGGTGTTTTCCGCCCGACCCGGGCATTGAGACTGCTGCTCTAGGTACTGGTGAGGCTGCTGCTCTAGGTGCTAGCGAGGCTGCTGCTCTAGGTGCTCGTGCGTCTGCTCCCTCAGGTGCTGGTGAGTCTGCTCTCTCAGGTACTGCGTCGGCTTCGGCCTCCCACACCTTCACCCTTGACTCGGGGGCTTCTCGCTCCTTCTTTCGAGACCGCACCACACTCACGCCGCTTGGCCGGCCAGTTGCAGTCTCTCTGGCAGACCCCTCTGGGGGTCCTGTCCTTGCTCACTTCTCCACTGTCCTCCCGTGTCCGGCGGCCCCCTCTGGCACCCTGTCTGGTCTTTACCTCCCCTCGTTCTCTACGAACTTGGTGAGTGGTGCTGACCTACAGGATGCAGGGGTTCACCAGTTCACTCCTGCGAGTCAGCGGGTGACCCACTGCACGGACGCTCGGACAGGCCGACACCTGGCCACGTTTACACGTCGGCCGGGGTCGAGCCTGTACACACTGACCACTGCGTCTCCTCCAGTCACTGCGTCTGGTCAGGTAGCTGCGTCGGGTCAGGTGTTTGCTGCAGCGTCCAGGTCTGGTCCTGAGTCTGCCCCCTGTTCGTGTCGCCTCCTGTCTCACGAGACTCTCCTCTGGCACCACCGCCTTGGTCACCCCTCCCTGCTTCGTCTCCGAGGCATGGCCTCCCGTGTCCTTGTCTCTGGTCTTCCCCGGTCCCTCCCTCCCCTTCCTCCGGGGCCTGGCCCTACCTGCGTCCCCTGTGTCGAGGGGCGGCAGCGGGCTTCCCCTCACTCCTCCCAGTTTCCTCCGACAGAGGCCCCGCTGCAGACGCTTCACATGGACGTGTGGGGCCCGGCCCGCGTCCGTGGACAGGGTCACGAGCGCTACTTCCTGCTGGTGGTTGACGACTACTCGCGTTACACCACAGTCTTCCCCTTGCGCAGCAAGGGTGATGTCACTGAGGTGTTGATCGACTGGATCCGCGCAGCTCGTCTCCAGCTCAGGCAGAGCTTCGGCTCGGACTATCCTGTTCTGCGTCTGCACTCTGACAGAGGTGGAGAGTTCTCCTCTGGCCTTCTGCGAGCCTACTGTCGTGCACGAGGCATCCGCCAGACCTTCACGCTTCCGGACTCTCCACAGCAAAATGGGATTGCTGAGCGCCGCATTGGCATGGTCATGGACGTCGCCCGTACGTCCATGATGCATGCGACTGCCCCCCATTTTCTGTGGCCGTTTGCGGTTCGGTACGCGGCGCATCAGATCAACCTTCACCCCAGGGTCTCCATGCCGGAGACCTCCCCAGCTTTGCTGTGGACGGGGAAGGTTGGCGATGCGTCTGCGTTCCGTGTCTGGGGATCTCGGGCGTTTGTCCGCGACTTGTCTGCGGACAAGCTGTCCCCTCGTGCTGCTCCTTGCGTCTTCCTTGGCTTCCCCCCTGACGCGCCAGGGTGGCAGTTCTACCACCCCACCTCTCGCCGTGTTCTGTCCTCCCAGGACGTCACGTTTGACGAGTCGGTCCCCTACTACCGCCTCTTCCCCTACCGCACTCCGTCCCTCCCCCCGCCACCGCTCTTCCTTGTGCCAGGTCCCCCCCCGGTAGACCCCCTCCCCCCTCAGGGTCCTGCCCCTTCAGGTGTGTCCCAGGTAGACGCAGTCGAGCCTGTCGAGGTTACTGGTGACTCTGGTGCTGCTGAGGGTGCTGAGCCTGGGGGTGCTGACTCTGGGGGTGCTGAGCGTGTGGGTGCTACGCCTGGGGGTGCTGAGCCTGAGGGTGCTACTACTAGGGGTGCTGAGCCTGGGGGTGCTGAGCCTGGGGGTGCTACGCCTGGGGGTGCTGAGCCTGGGGGTGCTACGCCTGGAGGTGCTGAGCCTGGGGGTGCGGAGCCTGAGGGAGCTGGGCCTGCTCGTGTGGCGTCTGGCGGTGCTGAGCCTGGAGGTTCTCCGGGTGCTTCGTCTCGGCGGGAGCCACTCTCTCCACAGGAGCTGCGAGAGTGGTTTGCCCGACGCTGGAGGCGTGCTGCTGGAGCTGGAGGTTCTTCGACTGCTGCGGGTGCTGGTGCCGCGGGTCCCGGAGGTACTCGTACTGGGAGTCCTGGAGCTGCTGGGCCTGCGGGTACGCCTGGAGCTGGAGCTGCTGAGGGTGTTGGCGCTGAGGCTACTGCTGTCGGTCCTGGAGGCGGTCCTGCTGGGGGTGCTCCTGGTGCTGCTGGAGGTACTGGAGCTGGAGGTGCTGCTGGCGCTGGTGCTGCCGCTGGGGGTACTGGTGCTGTCCCTGCTGTGTCTGGAGTCGCCGCGCGGCCTCGGCCGTACTTCGTTCCGCTCCTTCAGCAGGTTCTTGGTCTCCCGCCTTCTACTGGTCCTCCTCCTCCCTTAGAGTGTCCACAGCCTGTCCCGTCCCAGTTACAGTTACAGCCGGCCTTCACACTGCCCGCTCCTTCTCCCTACACTGGTCCTACTGGAGGTCTGGCTGAGCGTCGTGAGCCTGCGTCTCGCCCTGCGTCGCCTGTCCGTCTTGCTCGCACTAGTGGCCGTGGTTCGCGTCAGCGTCCTCCTCCTGTCCCTGGCACGCACCGGATGTCTCTGCGTCCGTCCACTGCTCCTCTGCGTGCCCCTTTGCCTTCTCCTCCTGAGTCCTCTCTTCCTGCTCTTCCCGACCCGGAGTCGGACTCTCTTCGTGCTGCCAGTCCTACTGTCACGCGTCTCCTTGCTACTGTCGTCACTGACCCTTCCTTTGAGTCCACTGCTGCGTCTGCCCTAGTTGCTGAGCTCGTCGACTTTGCTGCTCGCTGTCGTCTAGACTACGCTGCTAGTCTTGTCGTTGCGTCTGAGTCTGTCTGTCCTCCGTCCGTCGGGGGTGAGTGTGCCCTTGGCACGGACGTCCTTGAGGACAGGCAGGAGGAGTTCCAGTGGTTGTTCTCACCACTGAACCCTCGGGAAAGGTGCGGCAAGGCAAATGACAACGGGAAGGATTCCTTTCTATCCTGGGTGTGTTGTTCCTTGGTGTGTTGTCTCCTCTAAGAGGCGCCTCTCCTCTAAGAGGGGCCTCTCGGCGGCGGCCGGTGGTCTTGCCGTTCGTCGGGGGCCGGCGGCCTTGCCGTTCGTCGCCTTGCCGTTCGTCGCCTTGCCGTTCGTCGGCGGCCGGCGGCCTTGCCATTCGTCGGCGGCCTTGCCGTTCGTCGGCGGCCGGCGGCCTTGCCGTTCGTCGGCGGCCGGCGGCCTTGCCGTTCGTCGGCGGCCGGCGGCCTTGCCGTTCGTCGGCGGCCGGCGGCCTTGCCGTTCGTCGGCGGCCGGCGGCCTTGCCGTTCGTCGGCGGCCGGCGGCCTTGCCGTTCGTCGGCGGCCGGCGGCCTTGCCGTTCGTCGGCGGCCGGCGGCCTTGCCGTTCGTCGGCGGCCGGCAACCGGCGGCCTTGCCGTTCGTCGGCGGCCGGCAACCGGCGGCCTTGCCGTTCGTCAGGGGCCGGCGGCCTTGCCATTCGTCGGCGGCCGGCGGCCTTGCCGTTCGTCCGTGGCCGGCGGCCGGCAGCCTTGCCATTCGTTGGCCGGCGGCCTTGCCGTTCATCACATTGCCGTTTGTCGGCGGTCGGCGGCCTTGCTGTTCGGCGGCTGGCGGCCATGCCATTCGTCACCTTGCCGTTCGTCGACGGCCGGCGGCCTTGGTGTTTGTTGTGGGCCGGCGGCCTTGCCGTTCGTCGGCGACCGGCGGCCTTGCCGTAAGTCAGCGGCCGGCGGCCTTGCCGTTGGTTGGCGGCCGGCGGCCTTGCCATTGGTCGGCGGCAGGCGGCCTTGCCGTTGGTCGGCGGCCATGTCGTTCGCCAGCGGCCTTGCCGTTCGTCGCCTTGCCGTTCGTCGCCTTGCCGTTCGTCGCCTTGCCGTTCGTCGGGGGCCGGAGGCCTTGCCGCTGGTCAGCGGGCGGCGGCCTTGCCGTTGGTCGGCCGGCGGTGGCCTTGACGTTCGTCGCCTTGCCGTTCGTCGGGGGCCGGAGGCCTTGCCGTTCGTCGGCGGCCGGCGGCCTTGCCGTTTGCCGGCGGCCGGCGGCCTTGCCGTTTGTCGCCTTGCCGTTCGTTGGGGGCCGGCGGCCTTGCCGTTCGTTGGCGGCCGGCGGCCTTGCCGTTTGTCGGCGGCCGGCGGCCTTGCCCTTCATCGCCATGCCGTTCGTCGGCGGCCGGCGGCCTTGCCGTTCGTCGGCGACTGGGGGCCTTGCCGTTCGTCGGCGACCGGCATTCTTGCCGCTAGTCGGCGGCCGGCGGCCTTGAAGTTCGTCGGCGGTCGGCGGCCGGCGGCCTTACCGTTCTTCGGCGGCCGTCGGCCTTGCCATTGGTCGGGGGCCGGCGGCCTTGCCATTCGTCGGCGGCCGGCGGCCTTGCCGTTGGTCGGCGGTCGGGGGCCTTGCCGTTGGTCGGCGGGCGGCGGCCTTGCCGTTGGTCGGCCGGCGGCGGCCTTGCCGTTCGCCGGCCGGCGGCGGCCTTACCATTGGTCAGCCAGCGGCCTTGCCGTTCGCTGGCGGCCCTACCGTCCTCAGACTACCCTTCGTTTGTTTCCGCACTTAGCTTTTGGAGGAACAGCGAGAAACAGGCAAATTCGTGCCTTCAGCGTGCAAGTTCCAACAGCAGCACCAATCTCGTTCTCCCACCCATCGCTGCAGCCACACTGCTGCTAGTAGAGCTGCCGGCGGTGAAGTCGGATGCTCCGTCCCATGGTGAATCGTCGCATGCTGAAACATCGCATGGTGAATCGTCGCATGCTGCACCGTCGCATGGTGAATCGTCGCATGCTGAACCGTCGCATGGTGAATCGTCGCATGCTGAACCTGTTGGGTGCAAATTCACATTGCACGACATCCTGCCGTCTGTTTGTATGAGTATGCGGGTGTGAATGGAATGTTCGTGTGTTTGTTTGCTTTCGCAGCTTGAAGCATTTGCAGGTACTCGCGCATTATGCGCTTCGGCACAATATTGTACGCGCTATAAACAGTACAAGCAGAACGGACGAGCTCGCAAAGGAACCCAAGATGGAAGCTTGGCGGTTCGGTTGAATTGATTGTGCAGATTCAGTTCTATCCAACTCGAAATTGTACTGTTTTGTTTGGTTGACTATAGTGTAGCAGGGCAGGCACTATAGGGGTACAATTTAGGTGAAGGTTGGATGTTGTTTGTCTGTATCTGCATGCTACAGGGCCAGGGGAAACCAGTGGAACCAGCATTTGGCTGGTTGGGCAAAGACAAATCAGGTTCTGTTTTTTAGGACCTGAACCTGGTTGTTGTTTTCCCAGGTTGGAAAAACAGAGCCAGAGGTTGTTTACCAACCTACCTCCTGCTGTTTTGTCCAGCCAGGTTGGTTCTGTTGCTTGGAATTATTTGGGATCATCCCTAGTTGTTCCCAGGTTTATTCCCAAGGTCCTTGCTAGCTAGAACTATTTATTCCTTCTCTGTTTGTACCTGAATATAGTGAAATTGATTCAAGCGAATTCCTTCCTTGCAGGAATTTCCTTTCTACGCGGTGCGACGGCAGAATGCTACCCGAGTCAACGCTAGTACGCTAGCACTCCAACGCTAGGCAAACGCTGTTCGAGCCATAACTTCGTAATGGCAGAACTTTTCGCGAGGCAACTTGGCTTATTTTAAAGCTCTTGGAGTGTGCTTCGATATAGGAAATTCTCAGCTTAATCCGGTCGACGGTCTGCACGATACGCTGCGCGACGTTCAAGGTACTCTTGTTATTTTGACTAAGTCATTCTTGATCCCTCTCTCTACAAACTCGGACCCGAGGATAGGGGCTGGTCTTGTACCAGGCACCCAAGGACCCTTGGAGGTGACCCCGAGGAGAGGTTTTAAGATTGATAAAGTCTTAATAGCTTGAGTTTATTAGGCCCTTATACCAACAAGCTGGTATCAGAGCTGCGTTATAGTGATCCTCGATATAGGTAGCTATGGCGGGCAACACCTCGACGGGAGCTGGTGAATCTTCAGCCCAAGATCGTAGCGGCAGCCATGATTCTGGTGTTTCAGCGCCAAGGGGAGCGCGAACAAACCAGGGCTCGCTGGTCAAGGAGGTGCTGAAGAATTTCACCGTCGAGAAGTTCAATGGTGAGGGCTATGATGATTGGGCTTGGAAAATGCAACTATATTTCCGTCAGATTGGATTGCTGAAACTAATGATTGGGGAGGAGCCTAGACCGAGTGACCCCGCGCTGCAGGAAGATTGGGACGAGCGCTCCTCGGCTGGCTACTATTTGATGTCGCAGAGTTTGGAGCTGAACCAGCGTCACCACGTCATGCACCTGCTGCCGGAGGTTGAGTGCGGTTCGAAGGCGTGGACCGTGTTGAAGGAGCTGCACGCCCCGACCTCCGTTGTTGCAATGTTGATGCTCGAGAGGGAGCTGTCCGCGTTGCGCCTGAGCGAGGGAGAGCCGGTGCAACCTGTCCTGGACAAATTGCGCGACCTCTACGCGAAGTTGGCGACCGCGGGAATCACCTACCCGGAGCAGACCAAGTGTTTGAAGATGCTCTCGCTGCTGCCGGAATCGTGGCTTCAATTCACGAGCGGATTGAGCCTGCCGCAGAACCAGAGCTCGTGGACACTCGAGTGGGTGCGGACAAAGATTCTGGAGGACTTCCGTCGCCGCCAACTGAGGGGTGGAGACGACGGCAGCAGCGGCTATGGGATGCAAGGGAGCCGACGTGGCAGAGGACGTGGCTTCGGTGGTGCTGGACGCGGTGCAAAGAAGGACGACGACTCCAACGACCAACAAGGAGGTACCGGTTGGGGTCGCGGTGCGAAATCTGGACGTGGGGGCAAGTCGGGTGCTGGTGGCAAAATGAAAGGGAGTTGCTGGTATTGTGAGAAGGAGGGGCACCCCTGGTTTTTGTGCTATAAGAAACCCGATGGATGGACCCCCCAGAATCGTCACCAGGATGGCGGCGCGCGGAGGAACCAGAAAAACAGCGCGAGCATGGTCGCCGATTCGTCCGACAACAACCCGAAGAGTAACGGCGGTGCGGAAAAGAAGAAGGAGCGCACCGCGGGCCAGTTCTTCCATATTGGAGAGCAGGAGGAGCAGGGGGAGCAAGAAGACGCCTCTGCCAAGGTTGGAGCAGAGCTGCACCCCCTGGATTATTGGGTGTTGGACACGGGCGCTGCTTGGACGATGACGCCGTGCAAGGACCTGCTGGACCACGTACGCGCTGCACCGATCAACGAGGTGTGCTCCGCCTCTGGACACGCGCTGAAGGTGGCTGGTGCGGGACGAGCTGCGTTTAAAGGAGCGGATGGCAAGCCGGTGGTGCTGCACGACGTTCTTCTCGTTCCTGAACTCAAGGCCAACCTCATCTCCCTCCGTGAGCTTGGCAAGGCTGGGGTGAGCACTAGCACGGATGGGGCACGCACTTACAAGGGGCAGCTGGGCAATCGGGTGCTTTGGGATCTGCACGAGAGCACGGACGTGTACAGATCCATGTGGCAGCTGCCGGCGTTGGCGTGGCATGGTGGGGGGCAGGCTGGAGAGGGGTCTGCATCCCAGGGGGAGTGCAATGCCGTTGGAGGGGTTGGTGTGAAAGTGTCGGCCAGATCTGGGGAGACGGATTGGGCAACGGCACACCGACGCTTGGGGCATGTGGCAATGCCCTTGTTGAAGCAGTTGGAGAAAGATGGAGCCGTTAAGGGTCTGAAGCTGAACGGACAGCCACCTGATGAGAATTGTGAAATCTGTCTGCTCTCAAAGTTTACCCGTTTCCCCTTCCATAGTGTGGCTGGCAGGAGCAAGAAGCCGTTGGAGCTGGTCCACATGGACTTGGTGGGGCCGCTGCCGGTTCAGGGACACAAGGGGGAGCGGTACTTTCTGACCATAGTGGATGATTGGAGCAGGCTTATGTGGACATATCCGCTGAAGCAGAAGGACCATGCCGCCTCTACGATACGGGAAGATTGGCTGCCATTCGTGGAGAAGCAAGCGGAGTGTGTGGTGAAGCGGATTAGGACAGATCGGGGTGGTGAGTTCCTTGGAGCTGAGATGACGGCCTGGCTCAAGAAGCAGGGCATCCAGAGGGAGCTGACCACGGCTTACACCCCCAGTCTAACGGTGTAGCAGAACGGGCGAACCGGACAATTCTGGAGACAGCTAGGGCGCTGCTCATAGAATCTGGGCTGGGCAACTTGATGTGGCCCCATGCTGTTCGACACGCTACCGTCGCTAGGAACAGGGTACTCACCAAGGTTGGGGATGACTCGTGGGTGCCGTTGGAGAGGTGGCTTGGGAGGAAGCCGCCGGTGGACATGCTGAGGGTGTTCGGTTGCATGGCAGTCGCCCACGTCCCCAAGACCTACCGCAGTAAGTTGGGGGCAAGTGCAATCTGGTGTGTGCATTTGGGGCTGGCTGCTGAGAGCAAGGGATGGCTGCTGTGGGAACCTTCCAAGAGTGTGTTGTTTGACAGCAGGGATGTGAAGTTTGTTGAGGGCATGATGTATGGGAGCTGGGAGAAACAGCCGGAGGCCAGGGTGTCCCAGCAGATGGAGCAGACCACCATGCAGCTGGACCTGACTCCTAGTGTGTGGGAGGAGGGAGAGGAGGCAGCTGCAGAGGGTGGTGATGGAGAGAAGGTGCAGGAGGCACCTGCTGGTGGAGGTGATGGTGTGGAGACTAGCGGTAGCACTAGTGGAGCTGCTGGATCCGAGGGAGGAGAGCAGCAGCAGGGGAAAACTAAGAAGCCGAAGGGTGTTGTTATGAGGGGATGGGAGACACCCATCTCCAGGCCAGGACGTACCCGTATGGCTACTAAGAAGCTGATGTAGCAGAGCAGCAGCTTGGGACAGAGGAGGCATTGCTGATTCTACCGCATGGCTATGATCCGGATGAGGAGGATGAACCTGCCTACTGTTTTCTTGCCCCTGCACCAGAGAAACCAGCTAGCATGGAGGAGGCATTAGCTGGACCAGATAGGGAGAAATGGCTGGTTTCCAGGGATGCTGAGTACCAGAGCCTGCTAGAGAATGGGACATGGGAGCTGGTGGTGCTGCCTGAGGGGAAGAAAGCCGTACAGTGCAAGTGGGTGCTAAGGATCAAGACCGATGACAAGGGACAGGTCACCATCTACAAGAGTAGGCTGGTGGCTAAGGGGTCTATGCAGAAGGAGAAGCGGGACTTCAATGAGATCTTTGCTCCCACTGCCAAACCCCCTACCCTCCGTGTCTTGTTGGCAGATGCAACCGTTAGTGGGAAATTCATCATTCAGATGGATATATCTACGGCATTCCTCAATGGGATTTTAGAGGAGGATGTGTACATGACGCAGCCGCCTGGGTATGAGGATGGTACGGGCAGGGTGTGCAAGCTGAAAAAGTCCATCTACGGCTGAAGCAGGCGCCACGCTGCTGGTACCAGAAGTTGGCAGCTGTTTTAGAGGAGATGGGATTCAGGACCAGCAGCTGTGATGAGAGCCTCTTTCTCAAGGGGGAGGGGGAGAAGCTGGTGCTGTTTCTGTTTCTCTTTAGTAGCAGCATGAAGGAGATCCAGAAGGTGCAGCAGCAGCTGATGGAGAACTTCAAGTGCAAGAACATTGGGGAGGTAAAGTACTATCTCGGGATGCATGTGGAGAGGGATCTGGATCACAGGTGGTTGAAGCTGCACCAGGAGAAGTTCATCAAGGAGCTGGGGGAGAAGTACGG